GAAGAAGACAAAGGAGATGATTGTGGACTTCAGAAGGAACAAAAACACCTACACCCCCCTGAACATAAGAGGATCTGCGGTGGAAGTGGTCTCCAGCTACAAGTACTTGGGTGTACACATGAATGACAACCTCAGCTGGAGCAACAACACCACCAGCCTGATCAAGAAAGCTCATCAGAGACTCTACTTCCTCAGACGGCTGAGACGAGCTGGTCTGGGAAGCTCAGTCCTCACCTCCTTCTACAGGTGTGCAGTGGAGAGCATCCTGTGCTCGAGCATCAATGTGTGGCATGGAGGCTGCACAGCTGCAGAAAGAAAAGCTTTGCAGAGAGTGGTGAAGGCTGCACAGAAATCTGTTGGAATCAGCCTCCCCACCATCACAGACATCTACACCTCCAGATGCAGGAAGAGGGCCACCTGCATCATGAAGGACCCCACTCACCCAGCACACACACTTTTTGCCCCACTCCCCTCAGGAAGGAAGTTAAGGAGCATTAAGTGTAGAACCACTAGACTGAGGAACAGCTTCTACCCTGAGGCTGTTAGACTCATGAATCTCTAACTAGAATAATCACTGTGAAAAACCATATCATGTTGCTGCTGATCTGTTTCATGTTGCTGCTGATCTGTTTCAATGTTGATGTGTTCATGCGTGCACATCTGCTCACAGACTCATGTTCATGTTTGTGCTGATGTTCAATGTTTTATGTTATGAGTGCTTAGTGTATATTTAGTTGTTTTTCTTAGTTCATATCTTAGATGTTATTACTGTTTTTCTTATACATTTTATTGTTGGATGTAACTGGGACCCTGTGTACATAATTTCGCTCCACCACATGTACCACATGAGGTGCGATTGACAATAAAGAAACTCTGACTCTGACTCTGACTCTGATATATGTATATATGTATTAGGGCTGCAACTAACGATTATTTCAATAAACGATTCATCGGACGATTATTTTTTTCGATTAATCGATGAATCGGCAAAAAAAAACCGTTTTAATTTCCACCCCTTTATTCCAAAAGTAAACATTTGACTGACATAGCAATTCACACTAAAGACAGGCTGCTATTTGACTATTGTGTTAGTAAAATATTGAATAATAAAAAAATTAAAGTTAGTCAAATAGCTTAAAAAAATAAATGTACACAACAATATATACAAATGTATCTTTATACCTGCACAGTATGTAGCTACTTTGTAAAATGTGTCCTTGAGGGAAGAGTGTAACCTGGATTATAAGTGTGGATTATTGTAGTGAAGCCTTCGTCTTCAACAATGGACAGAGGCCTCATGTCAGTGACGATCATGTTCAGGATGTTTCAGTGAAGACAGCTGCTGCTGTGGTTTCCATGATGTCTGTCCATCATGAAGTGCTGTTGTTTGTTGTTTTCTGGAATGAGACAGTAAATATGTTTTATATCATAATTTACAGCAACTCAAGAAATGCCTTGTTTCACTTACAGCGTTAGGTTCAGGCAAAAGTAGCTAAAAGAGCAATTAAACACACATACACACACACATATACATAAAATACTTAATTACACACATTTGAGTAGATGTAATAAATTACTTTAATTCCTGTTTAAATGCAAT